ACCTTGTCATGCATCCACAGATGCATCTCGAGCAGGTCCAAGGAGGTGACCCTCCCCCTCTATGTGACACTGGTCAGGCCGCAGTTGGAGTACTGCATCCAGTTCTGGGTGCCGCACTCCAGGAGGGATGTGGACAGCATGGAGCGGGTCCAGAGGAGGGCCACCCACATGATCAGGGGTCAGCAGGGCAGGCCCTATGAGAAGAGGCTACAGGACCTGAACCTGTTCAGCCTTCATAAGCGAAGGCTGAGAGGGGATCTGGTGGCCATTTACAAACTAGTCAGGGGGGACCAGCAGGTATTGGGGGAATCCCTGTTCCCCCAAGCATTACCAGGACTGACAAGAAATAACAGTCACAAGCTGGCAGACAGTAGATTCAGGCAAGACATCAGGAGGCGCTACTTCACAGTCAGGGTGGCTAGGATCTGGAACCAACTTCCAAGAGAAGTGGTGCTGGCTCCTACCCTGGGGGTCTTTAAGAGGAGGCTGGATGAACACCTTGCCGGGGCCGTTTGAGCCCAGTACTCTTTCCTGCCATGGCAGGAGGTCAGACTTGATGATCTGCTCAGGTCTCTTCTGATCCTACCAACTATGAAACCCCCCTCTCCCACTGCCTGCCCTGAGCACAGCACAGCCCAGTCCCCGCTGGGAAGAGCCCTGGGCAGCCCCAGCTGCAGCTTGCCCTACCCCATGCAGATCCAGCCCCAGCCTGCCCCGCCGCTGCTTCCACCTGGACAAGCAGTCAAAGCAGTAACAGAAGCCACTGGATGAGTGAACGAGCAGTTTCCAGACAGGCAGCATACAGTGGCGGGAGCCACCCCCCACTGGACGAGCCATAGCTCCATCCTGCGCCTGCCCTGCCCTGGCTGGGCAGCAGTTGCCCCAACCCCTGCCCCAGCTCCACTCCCTCCCTCACTGTGGGGGCCTTGATCTGCCCCCCACCTCCTGCCACACCCCTTTCCTTCCCCCTCTCCCCTCCCACCGCATCAGACTTCCAAGCTGCCAGGCTGTGCTCCTCGCCACCTCGTTATGTGCATGCATGGGCCATTTATCAACCATATCAGGCCAATTTCCGATACAGACAATTTTCTTTAAATCAGTGCCAATCCAACATCAGACCGATGTATCAGTGCACCTCTACAAAACAGTTCTCCCAGGCTTTCCTGAAGGTATAGCCTGCCTTCATTTCAGACAGGCAATTTCACAAGCCCTCCAGGCTTATACTTCCTTTAGGAAAAACCCCCACCTCTGCTTAACTTCCTATTGGTACCAGGGACTCCCACAAACAGACTTGCTGGATGGGTATGTATTAACATCTGTAAGCAACAAGACAAGAGGAGACTAATATCTACTGTAAAAGTTTCTTTCCCTCAGACTTGGCCTGTCTGAAATTCAGCCCGGCTCG